GTTAAATGAGTTGGCAGGTATGCCCATATAGTAAGTGCATCCCCCATGTGTTAATTCACTGGCTATAATCAGAATAATTCATCCCCAATTAAACAATTCAGGTCCAACCTATAGAATAAAATTAATCCACAGATTATAAAAAAAAATTACAATCCAAAAGAAATTCAGTCCCCATATAGTATTGACATCCCCTTATAGTAATTATGACCCCTTATAATAATCGTCAAGAGCCTATTATAGAATTAATCCCCCATAGTAGGTGATCCCCCATTATAAATTCATCCCCGCTATTAAGTCCCCAATAACGTTAAAAATGTAAATCCCCTCACGATATAAATAAATGCAAATCTCAAGAGAAACGGTTGTGTGCAATACATAAATCCGCCCGTTCCGGTTTACGAATGGGTATTTTGCATGAAAAAACATAATGTAATTACCTACTAAGATCTGTCCCCTCGACGTTGAGAGATTGCGTAATCATGTGCCAGTTTCAGGCTTAGAGAGTTTCCGATCGGCGATTCACTCGTACATGCGCAGATACGTCTAAGGGGCCATAAAATCCCTGAAAAATTATACCATTCATTCAATACGTATCACGCTAGTTCACGTCGAAATAATGGCATAATGATTAAAATCGAATAGGTCCGCGTACGCCGTAGGCCGTGTATACGGAAATGGCCATTGTAAAATGCCTCATTCGCTGTAATTAATTATTGGTCTAATTTGTGTGACGACGGCGAATATGGCTACGCTCACCGATTTAATAGAGCGAAATTGCAATGAATTCCCTCGGCACTACCAGAAATATTATTCGCTGACGGCAACTAGTGCAACCCTTCTAAGTACATGTGGTTTGATACGCAACATTTGAATTAATACTGATATCTTAGAAAACAATTGGACAAACTTAGTGGTGGGTGGTGGGGGAAATGACCTACAAAAATACAGAAGCAGCTCGAATCCCAATAGACTAGGCGCAGGTGATGCCGTGCTAATTTAATATCAGCGCTGACGATACTACTCTAAGTATGCAAATACACCTGTCAACAGAGGTTAGTTTGGTTTAGGTTGCATCAAAATCTGGTAGTACAGTATAGACACATGCCCCCTTAACAGAGAAATCGTAAGGATAGTCGCGGCTAGACTTTCCCGGACTTAGCTCTAGTAAAAAATGACAAGTTTAAAGCGCACATGCGAGATTCGACAGTCCCGACAAACCTGCCCATCACACAACTACTCCAAAAGTGTCCATAGTGAAAATAGCCTCCACACTGAATGCGTCACAGAGCGCTGTAATGATTCTCCACCCCAACTCTTTTATCAGTTTGGTTATAGCCCCCCCCGCGCAGGACCTCGATCAGGTCGTTTTGAACCCACATGTACACCAAGGTGTCGCCCGAAGCACTCCTGACAGCGTATGTTCACCGCCTGTCCACCCCTGGGAAATTTCACTTATTGCACAGGTGGCAACCTATCACAGTACCACGCTTGAATTCACTGAGCTCCTGAGAGCGACCCATTCTTTCACAAATGTTTGCATGCCTAGGTGCTTGATGTTACACACTTGTTGCCATTTGAAGTGATTAGAAAACCTGAATCTAATGACTAGGAGAGGTGTCCCCAATACCTTTGGCATTATAATGTATACCTAATGAATTCACTGGCCTCAGGTGATACACAGAGATTTAACAAATTCTCCTACATATGTTGTACCTGTCTGTCTGCAGTCTTCTTTTCTCTACATTGTTCAAAGTGCGAACTTGTAAACTTGTCTGAGAGTTCAGAAAAATGTTGGCGGAAATCTGAAATTACACACTGCAGAGCTCAGTGAGGAGAGCTCTGAGAGCTGATTGCAGGGAAGGAAAACACCCCCCCCCTCCACATAGCTCACAGGAACAGATCTGAGGCTGTTAATCTGGTGGAGGTCCCTCCCCTGTCACCATTTTTCTCTTGGTGTCAGTAAAACTTCTCGGAAGTGATTCATGCTGATAAAAAAGGGATGAGACAGCAGGCAGAGATGACACTTAGTGCTCTTAATTGTGACAAGTACACACTATAGACAGATATGTTTTGCTCACATTTCATGTCTGAGGTTTACAACCACTTTAAAGTGTTATTAAACCTATGACCCTGCATTCACTATATCTGGTCTCCCACAGTACACAGAACATGGAAACCTATCACGGTATCACGGTTACCACGCTTGAATTCACTGAGCTCCTGACAGCGACCCATTCTTTCACAAATGTTTGTAGAAGCAGTCTGCATGCCTAGGTGCTTGATTTTATACATCTGTGGCCATTGAGGTGATTGGAACACCTGAATCCAATGATTTGGGGGGGTGTTTCAATACTTTTGGCAATATAGTGTATCTACTAATGTATGGGCAGCTTTACAATAAATATGTGCTTATGGTGAAAGAGGGAAGGCATTTACCTGATTGGAGGATGAAATGTAGAATATTTCCGTTGCACACATTCCTGGAGATGGCAAAGAGTAAGTGACTGAAGGGTAAGGTTACCAAGGGTGGGTCATGGAAGCTGGTTGCAAGGAGGTTCTTGATTGCAGATTAGTCAGGGTCAGCAGTGGATGAGTTTCTCACACTTTCTTTAACCACTTGCCGACCGCGCATAGCGCGCATAGGCCGAATCATGACGGCTTCACTCCACAGGCCACGCGCCCAAACCCACTCCCGGGATCTCCAACAATCGCTGTGTCCCCCCCCAAACGTGGCCGGCCAGTTCTGAGTGGACGTCATATGACGTCCTCCCAGAACGCGCTCTCCTGCGCGCCCCAGGGGACGCGCACCCGGCGATCTCCGTGATCGCTGTGTCCTACGGACACAGCTGATCACGAGATGTGGTGAAAGGCCGATCCCACCGGCCTTTTACCACGTGATCAGCGGTGTCCAATGACACGCTGATCACAGGAAAATGCAAGTGCCGGTTCTCGGCTGCACTTTCCTCACGCTGTCAGAACCTCGTGAGGAAAGTACTGCCGAGAACCGGCAGTTGTCAGAGCGGGGATCGGCACCGATCATCAGGGCACTGATGATCAGTGCCCTGATGATCGGTGCCCAGCAGTGACCCCCGCAAGTTCCGATCAGCTGTGCGCCCACTAGCCCCGCCCACCCATTCCCAGCAGTGCCCCCACCTGTGCCCAGCAGTGCCCCCACCTGTGCCCAGCAGTGCCCCCACACCTGTGCCACTCTGCAGTGCCACCTACCTGTGCCCAGCAGTGCCACCTACATGTGCCCAGCAGTGCCACCCACCACCTGTGCCCACCCACCTGTGCCCACCAGCGCCACCCACCTGTGCCCACCAGTGCCACCCACCTGTGCCCACCCACCAGTGCTGTCCACCAGTGCCACCCACCAGTGCCACCCACCAGTGCTGCCAGTCAGTGCCACCAGTCAGTGCCCAGGGGTTGTGCCAGTCAGTGCCGCCAGTCAGTGCCCAGAAGTGATGCCAGTCAGTGCCGTCTATCAGTACCCATCATCAGTGCCGCCTATCAGTGCCGCCTATCAGTGCTGCATATCAGTGCCGCCTATCCGTGACCCCTAATTAGTGCTGTCTATCAGTGCTGCCTATCCGTGCCACCTCATTACTACTGCCTATCAGTGCCCTTTAGTGCTGCCTATCAGTGCCCATCAGTGCCGCCTATCAGTGCCCATCAGTGCCGCCTCATCAACGCAAATCAGTGAAGGAGAAAAAAATACCTGTTTGAAAAATTTTATAAAAGAAACAAATAAACTTTTTTTTTTTTTTTCAAATTTTTTGCACTTTTTTTAATTTATAGCGCAAAAAGTAAAGCGCCCAGTGGCGATTAAATACCACCAAAAGAAAGCTCTATTTGTGAGAAAAAAATGATCAAAATTTCATATGGGTACAATGTTGCATGACCACGCAATTGTCAATCAAAGTGCGGCAGCGCTGAAAGCTGAAAATTGGCCTGGTAAGGAAGGGGGTATAAGTGCCTGGTAGGCAAGTGGTTAATACATTGAATAAAAACAAAAAAACAAAAACAATTTAACATTTATACACTATAAATAAAAATTTAAAATACCAGCAGGGTCTTGCTAAGGAAGAATCAGATATTGTTCATAACCATAACATATTTGTAGCCTACTGACTGTCATCGGCAAAAGGGGTTATTATCAACACAGTCTTATCCATAGAAAAATATATTCAAAATGCTGTACATTAATATTCCTTAAAAGTCAATGGCTGAATAATCTAAGGTTGGAAATTCAATGACCGAACACAAATCTTTCAAAAAATTATTAAATAACTGTTGCATCATAATTGGAGCTGACTTTGTGCACATAAAGATCCAATCTGCAAAGCAGCAACCCTTGATGTGCTTTGAAGATCCCACAAAATATACCGAGTGGAGGCATAAACGCAAGGAGCCCTTCCCTTATAGACTATGTGCACACTAGAAATGTGTTAATATATACTGTTGCTGTTGAACAAAGAATTATGTGCCCATAAAGAGTGTTTGTTGCACACGTTTCCATATAGAAAAATCCTGTATTTTTGAATGGATTAAAGCCATTTGCTGATGATTATCAAAGAATCGGATTCAGATTGTATAAATCACAGGGAGGTGGTTAGTATTACTTGCCAAGATGTGTCATTCCTTATACACATATAACATTTCTCATAAAATATGCTTTATAATAATGTATTAAAATCAAATTGCATGGGAAAGTATATAACTGTTTAGTTCATGTGTGTGGCTTTGCATAAATTGTAATTCCATTAATTCATAGACTCTGCACAAACCTTCATCTTTAAAGTTCAGCTTCGAACCAACTGCATATGATATAAATTTGCATAGGACAAGAATTTTAAATGTTGCAAAACAGTTTGTGTTCACTCTAATAGGTTATCTGTCAAACCAGGGAGACAAACATTAACAGCTGTACTTGAATATAAATGCCCTTTCCTGATGATAAATTGTTTTAGAGTAGATTAGGCGTGCATCTAAATCTACCTTTCCTCTGAAGCAGGGCTTGAAATTTCCACTCCCCTGCTCGCCAATGGTGGGCGGAAATTATGGTGGGGGTGAGTGTGTCCCCCAGGGCTGAAATGCTGAGCAGGCTTGGAGCGCAGGCCGGATCTGTCATTGGCACTGGGAGCCATCAGACTGCTCAATAGCTGAGTGCAATGAAAGCAAAGCAAGGAGTGTGCTGTGCTCTCTGCCTCCCCCTAGAGTGCAGTACCCGGATCTGTGAGTGAACAACGAAGTACTGCAACTTTTTATGGGGTGTGTGTGTGTGTACGTGTACATGTGTGTGTGTCTGTGTATGCATGTACAATTGTACATGTGTCTGTGTGTATGTACATGTGTGTATCTGTACATGTATCTGCGTGTATGTACATGTATGTGTGTGTGTACATGTGTGTGTGTGTGTGTGTGTGTGTGTGTGTGTACATGTGTCTGTGTGTACATGTGTCTGTGTATGTATGTACATGTGTCTGTGCATGTGTATTTCTGTGTATGTACATGTATCTGTGTGTATACGTGTGTGTGTGTATGTACATGTCTGTGTGTATGTACAGGTGTCTCTGTTTGTTGGTGGCGAGTAACTCTAAGGCCTGGCTAGTAGCTCAGGACTTGAAATTTTAAGCCCTGCTCTGAAGCATGAACCTCATTCAGGACACACTTTAGAGGCTACTGACAGACTGTGAGGAAGCAATGGGATGCCTCTTCACCACCTGTTTTAACCAATTTTTGCCAACAAACGCATGCATTGCTCTCGGTTATGGAAGGTTTGCATTGTCTCCCACCGATCACTACATGTTGGGTAGATTTTGCGGCAGGTGCCAAGTGAAGCATTGTGACCACAGCATGTAAACACCCCATCCACTGCTTATTGCAGCTTAAGGGGGGGGGGAACACTGGCAGATGACAAAAATGCGGTTCAACTGTGCATTTTTACCAGCTCCCAACTGCACATCTAAATGAAGGCATATTGTTTTGTTAGCAAGATCCCACAGATATTTTTAACCTTTTAGAGTGTAAAGAATTTGTTTTGTTTTTCTTTTCCTCATTTGTATCCATGTGTGTTTAGAAAAATAATGAAAGAATAAAGTTTTAGCAAGCCTTCGTGCAGTATACAATATGCAGTAACAACTAATTATGAGCTGGTTGTAAATGAGTTTTGGTTTTGGGTGGGTTCACTGAGTATTAAGTTTGGGTGCCAAATTCAAACCCCACTGAAATCATTTGGAGTTCAAAGTAAGAAAAAACAGTATTGTCAAACTAATGGCAATGTGGGGGGTACTGCCTTACAGATCAAATACCAGAGCAGCATTGATTTAATTAATGTTTAGAGGGCTAAATTAAAAATGCAAAAATCCTTTAACCACTAGCCTACCGGGCACTTATACCCCCTTCCTGCCCAGGCCAATTTTCAGCTTTCAGCGCTGTCACGGTTTGAATGACAATTGCGCAGTCATGCAATACTGTACTCATATGAAATTTTTATCATTTTTTGAGACAGATATAGCTTTTTTTTGGTAGTATTTAATTACCTCTGGGTTTTCTGATTTTTGCTAAACAAACCAAAAACAATTGAAATTTTTGAAAAAAAAAAAAAGTTTTTTCTTAGCTTTTGTTATAAAGTTTTGTAAATAAGTGATTTTTCTCCTTTACTGATGTGCGCTAATGAGGCTGTAGTGATGGGCACTGATAGGTTGCACTGATGGGCACTCATAGATGGCACTGATGAGGAGGCACCGGTAGGTGGCACTGAAGGGCATTGACAGGCATCACTGATGGGCACTGAAAGGCAGCACTCATATATGGCACTGATAGGCGGCACACTGACTGGCACTGTTAGGTAGCACTGACTGGCACTGTTAGGCGGCACTGACGGGCACTGATAGGTGGCACTGACGAGCACTGACAGGTGGTACTGACTGGCACTGATAGGCGGCACTGACTGGCACTGATAGGTGGCACTGATAGGCAGCACTGATTGGTGGCACTGATAGGTGGCACTGACTGGCACTGATAGGTGGCACAGAAAGGCAGCTCAGGTGGGCACTGATATGTGGCATTGATGTGCACTGGTAGGCACTGATATGTGGCATTGATGAGCACTGACAGCTGGCATTGATGGACACTGACAGGTGGCACTGCTGGGGCTACACTGATCATCAGGGCACACTGATCATCAGTGCCCTGATGATCAGTGTACATGTCCCCTCTGAGGAATGCTGATTACCAGCTCTCCTCTCGATGCGGATAACTGGCATTTCCTTATTTACATGCTATCAGCTGTGATTGGACACAGCTAATCACATGACCAAGCCGACATCTTCGGCTCTTTCCGAGGGACACAGCGCACCACCGTTCGCTGGGTGCCCCCGGAGCAGCGCACGTGCGGTTAGAGTGGGAGGACGTCAGTACATCAATGAACACAATGTCAAGTAAAATTTTAGCGATCACAAACCTGCTGGAAAAGTCACTTTCATGTTAATTTGTGCCCTGATCAACCCGACTCAATCTTATTTCAATCTTGCGCTAACCAATTTACGTAAACCATTTTTTTCTTGCATGCATCACAATGTATCACTAAAAGGGAATAATTATCTCCTAAAATAAAACTCATATGTTAAATTTGAGTATTACCAGTCACTACTTTTTTTTAAAATCACTAATGTGATATCATTTTAATCAGACTTTTAATCAGACTTTAAGCAGACTGTTGATTATATTTTGCCTTGGGAAAAACTACTGGAAAATGCTAATTTTTTCTATTTTCTTTAATATTTATTCCAAAGAAATAACAAAGAAAAAAAAAAAATACATGTATCCAAATTTGCTACCAAATGAAAGCCCTATCTGTCCCAAAAAACAATGCATGGTTATGGTAGACAAAAGGGTGCGGAGCCAACATATCCCCGAAGCAAAAAAAGTGCTCTGTCACTCAAGTGATCAATTAAAGCGGAATTTCAGATAAAAATTACAGTTTCTCTTATTGTTCTTCTTCCCCCAGATTATAACAGAAATGCAGTTTTTTTTTTGGATGAGGGGGATCAGGTACTTTTTTTTCACAGGTAACCGCTCCCACTTCCTTAATCCTCATCGAGGCAAGAATTACAAAACCTTGGACCACCCCCTCCTCACTCTTTCCCTGCTATCTGCAACCTCCTGGGTGACATCACAAGTCCCAGGAGGCTGCAGGTCTCACAGTTCTGTGCGATCTTTTCACTTGCAAAGTGGGCTGCCAGTTGTAAGATGTCAGGAAGTCGCAGCCTGGTCTGGGGTAGACGTCAATGGACTAGAACCTTTTTGTTAAAAGTCAGCCAGCTACAGTATTTGTAACTGCTGACTTTTAATTTTTAAGAAAACAAAACAAGCTCTTCTTTAACAAGATCAGAAGGAAAAACTTGAATGACAACTGAATTACCAAGTTGAATTGAGCCAATTTGCTTACAGGCTTGGAAATAAATGCTGATTATATCATTCTCCATAACACAAGGAACACAAGGCCCTCTTGTTAAACACAACAGGCCCGGTGCTTGGGATTGTTTTGTAGGTGTGGACTGCCATGTCTCTGTACGGTATAGGGTTCAGCAGCATATGAATTAAATGTTGACATTTTTATTTACAGTGCTTTGTCCTGAATTTACACTGGAGATGAAACATCTCCATGGCAGAAGTCTTCTTTAGTTTGAATATAGCTTCCAATTGCCCCTCATTTGGAAGAATTGTCCCTCTTTTGAGACCAAATCCCTTGTCTTTTGTGCAGCCTCAGTTGTCCCTCTTTTTCATCTGATGTCAAAATCTCTATACAAAATGTACTTTAAGTTGCAGAAGTGTTTTGCTGCTCTAAACTTTTTATCCAACCTCTATATGACTGGATTTGTTGTTAAAACAGGGGTAAAAAAAAGTACTTGTGTAGTTTAGCCCATCTTTTTCCTGTGTATTAGATCTTAAGTAACCAGAGCCACAGTCATGGGCGGACCGACAACTCATGGGGCCCCCAGGCAATAGGGGATCATGGGGCCCTTGTGACCTTGCCCAAACTCAAAAAAGCCTATGAAAAAGGTACCAGGGGCACCTCATGGGGCCCCCTACTGACCCCGGGCCCTCAGGCAGTGCCCGAGTTTCCAAATGGTCAGTCCGCCCCTGGCCACGGTAGGAACTTGTTCTTTGTGTACATACTGTGTGCTAAAAGTCATCCCTAGTTATCATTTCAGAAAGTTTGGTGATATGGTTTGTATGGTTTAGTACAGTGGAAAAGATTCACTTGGCTATATGATACTGGTCATGATCTTTTAGATAAGTTGCTGTTTGTATTATTGTTCAAAGTGTGTGGTTATGTTTCCATTGAAATACAATATCTAAAATCTATGATAATCTTTAAAAAAAATATTTCATTTCAGAAGTCAATTTCATTTTTTTTTTCAACTGCACCTTTAATTAAACGAATATCTTGGAATCCTACAATGAAGGTTTTTGTTCAGGTACTTACTCTTATGGGGTGCTGCTGTGTTGCCACACTGTCACCATTCACCTTTGTCATCATCAGGTATCTGGTCCAGAGCAATAATGCGCAGCTGATGCTGGACTCCATATAGACAGGAAGCAAATGAAAGAGACTGGAGATCAGCAGCCCTGAGATGCAAAAAAAAATAAAAAGGGTGAAATTGGTATTTTATGGAAAGAAAATATTAATTTCTGGTACACTATGGTTTAGCAAACTAAATGTCATCTAAGTAAGGCTTACATTTACTGTAAAGCATCTCTGTCACTAGATAATAAAAAAACTTTTAAAATTCATCTCTGCAAATTTATGAATTGATTTATACCTGCCCTACCCTGTGTGCTGACAATCCTGTCTCTAGTAAAACTGGCCAATAATGCTCTGGTTATATTTGGTTAATGATGTCACCACTATCTTCACCCCTTCCTTTATATAGCTGGAGTCCCCCCATGTTGAGGGCATGGGGTCTGGTATGGTAAGAGGGAAGCACACTCCACCCCATCCTTTCCTGGATTAAAAGGATCTGGTGTGGCTTCCTGGGAGACCCCACCATGCATTTTTTTTTGGGGGGGGGGCAGTGGAGTTGATTTGCTAAGACTGGAGAGTGCAAAATCTGGTGCAGTTCTGCATAGAAACCAATCAGCTTCCAGTTTTGTTTTGTCAAAACTTAATTGAACAAGCTGAAGTTAGAAGCTGATTGGATACCATGCGCAGCTGCACCAGATTTTGCACTCTCCAGTTTTAGTAAATCAACTCCAAAGGGTCTGGTGTGCATTTTGGATGGATTCTTTGTGTTACAGGATTATTGGTGATCTGAGTGCGTGGTATGACAAAGCTATAACCTGAAGTATCTGTATCAAGAGAAGAATAGAAAATGTGCTCATTTGCTCATTCAGAGTTTAATGTGTCATGGACGTCTTCCCTGAATGCACCTCCTGTGTGCCTCCTGGGGCGCACATCAGGCACTCTCAGTATCCGCTCTGTCCTTTACACACAGCTGATCACAGATCATGGTAAAGGGCCAATCACAGCAGCAAGTCTGTTTACATGTGATCAGCTGTATCCAATCACAGTTATCAGCAGTCTTTTCCTCACACGCTGTGTCTGTACCAGGAAAGGACAGCGGATACCTGGCAAGGCTATCAGTACTTTGTTTACACTGAATTAGGGCACTGATGAGCAGTGCCTAATTATCAGTGAAGCCCCATCAGTTCAGCATATCAATAACAATCAGTGTCCATCAGTAACCACCTATTAGTGCCCATCAGTGCCGTCCCATCACTGCAGCTTCCTCAGTGCCTCCTTATCAGTGCCATCTAATCAGTGCAGCCTCATTAGTGCACATTAGTGCCTATCAATGCAGCCTCATTTTTGCCCATCAGTGCAGCCTCTTTAGCGCACATCAGTGAAGAACAAAAATTACTTATTTGCAAAATGTTATAATAGAAACTAAGAAAAACACTCCTTTTTCAAAATTTTCAGACTTTTTTCATTTGTTTAGCAAAAATTAAAAAAAAAGTGGTGATTAAATACCACCAAAAGAAAGTTCTATCTGTCTCAAAAATATGATAGAAATTTCATATGGGTACAATGTTGCATGACCGCGCAATTGTCATGAAAATTGCGACAGCACTGAAAGCTGACAATTGGCCTGATCAGGAAGGGGGTGAAAGTGTTCGGTATTGAAGTGGTTAAATATGTGTTAGCTGTTAGAAAACTGTATTTTTTTCTTTTCCTGTTCTTTTTAATCAAGTCTCATCCTCATCGACTGTCATGCAGTGATTAGGTACCTGGGTGACTTATAGGTAGTTACATGGCTGCTGATTAGTAATAATGTGGCCTTAGGTTACCTAAATCACACTAATTGTGGGTCAAATGGAAAATGGATTTTGGTAGATTCATCTATCCCATACATACAAAGGGGTCAGCTTTTGTAAAACGTAAAAAGAGAACTCCTGTAAAAACAAAAAAATATATAACTATATATTGGTGTAAATAATACTTAAAGTGATATTAAAGGAAATTTTTTTTTTAAATAACAAACATGTCTCCAAATATCACCCAAACCATACTCTCCGCTCCTCGCATGACCTCCTGCTCTCTAGCTCCCTTGTCTCCTCCTCCCATGCTCGTCTCCAGGACTTCTCCAGAGCCTCCCCCATCCTCTGGAAACCTCTACCCCAATTTATCAGACTATCGCCTACTTTTCTCACTTTTAGGCAATCTCTGAAAACCTCTCTTTAGGGAAGCCTATCCTGCCTTCAGCTAATAATGGAATCTTCTATTCCTCCTACCAGTCCATCCCCCACAGTTATTACCTTTTGTACCACCAGCCCCTCCCTCTTAGATTGTAGTCTCCAAGCAGCAGGGCCCTCCTAACCCTCTTGTATTGAACTGTATTGTTGCTGTATTGTCTCCTGTTATATTGTAAAGTGCTGAGCAAACTATTGGCGCTATATAAATCCTGAATAATAATAATAA